ACTTGGTGTACAGTCATCACATTAGTGGCCAAGCATGTCCTTTATGGACGCAGAGAAAGAATAGTCACAGTTGATTGATACTTCCCACAAAGTATCCAAGAGCAAGATAAGTTAATGTACGTTATCCGGTGTTAATATTTTAAATACAGTACTAGGCTAGATGGAAATTTTACAATCAATCATGAATTGTTTGGTTTCAGAGTGCTAATGGGTATGAGGCCATCTAGTCCTTTTGGGACGACTAGTTAGGAATATAAACTTTGTCTTCCAGGAATTATATTCATTTTCCCAGGACCTCACCAGCCCTGCCCCATTTGTTTGTGGTTGATGAAATCATAGCATCTGGACCTTTTAGGGGGAAACTTAAAAAAAAAGCCAAGTATTACATCAACTGAGAAAAAAATTATCATGGAAAAGGAGGACAATAAGGACCATTTTTTATAGTTTATGCTATTCCCTTTCTCTCATCCCGCTTTAAAGCTCCACGTTTTCCTTTTCAGAGAGCCAGCGCTGCATGATAAGACCTCATTAGATCAAAGTCAAGCAGAGTCAGCCTTAGGGATCATCTGTCCAAACCGCCTCATTTCACAGATGAGGCTATTGAGGCTTTGTGATGTTAAATGGCTTGGCCAAAACCATATAGCTGATTATTGGCAAGCCTGGGCCTGTCACAAAGCTTCCCTGTCTGTCAGGCCCACATTCTTCTCACGAAATTGAGGCTTCTCAGTTTAATCTTACTAAACCAGTGAATTTTTCCCCCCACTATTTTTCTAAATTAATAAAGACATTACTTATCAGACGTAGTTAGAAATCAGGGCCATGTAAAGGTTGATATCACTCTTGCTTTCTTGGGAAGCCTGTCTAGATAAACCCAAAGAAAGTTACTTCTACAGATTTTATGTCCTAATTTCAGGATAAGACATAGATTAACAATAAAATGACAATGACTAGAGCATTTATTGTACCCTTGCCCTGTGCCAATGTCTGAGTTAAACTATTTTCGGCTAACACAGCATTAACCCCAAAGTGAGGTAGACATTGAGTTACTAACATTCGCAGTTTCCCCTTTAAATTTGGGGAAGTTATTTGCTCACGATCATAGAGAAAATCAGTAGCTCACTGGGAACTTGAATACTCCAGAACCCAAGCTCTTAACCTCTATATTACACCATCCACATCTCGTAGTTCCTCGAAATGAGTACTTGTCACAATCTGAATAGTGATTTTAACAAGGAAAATGACAACAACAATAATAGTAACACTTCACCAATTTCTGTGAGTCTCCTGGAAGTAGGCACAAGGCCAACTGTGTGGCATCTATCAGAGCTACTGCTCAGAACTCTAACATAGGGAAAAAGTATCTCATTTTACAAGTGAATTAAAACCAAGAAAGTCTTAGTAATGCTTACGGTTGTATACTTAAAGCAGTGAGGCTTATTTTTAAATTAAATTCTGTCTAAAAATTGAGCCCATGTGGTTTTTTTTCTTTTGTTTCATTTTTTGATAGAGGCCCACTCTATCCCCCGATGTAGAGTGCTGTGCTATCATAGCTCACAGCAAGCTCAAATTCTTAGACTCAGACAATCCTTTTTGCCTCAGCCTCCCTATGCCCAGCTACCTTTTTTTTTTTTTTAAGTAGAGATGGGGGTCTCAGTCTTGCTGAGGCTGGTTTTAAACTCCTGAGCTCAAGTGATCCATCTGCCTCCGTCTCCCAAACTGCTAGGATTACACAGGCATGAGCCACCAGGTCCAGCTAAGCCCATGATTTTTGTTTCATATTTTCAGGCCCTGCCTTGGCCTTTCTGAGGCTTTTCCATACACACTCTGCAGCATGAGTTGTTGATTATAAAACTGCCCATTTATACACAGTAATAACATGTAACACCATAGTATGGGAAAGAGCACGGACTTCAGTCAATTCCTGGTTTAGTTCCTAATGCAGCTGGGCTGCACACTGCTCCCTTCCCTGTCTTTATTATATCTTCTCTGATCCATTATCTGTGGATTTTAATTTTTTTTACATTCGAATGACATTCCAGATAAAATTCAAATGGATCTTTCCTTTTATTTCCCAATTTGGAGGAGATGACTCATGAATATCCCATCTTTTTGCTGTGAGTTAATAAAAGCTTAACACAAAGAAAAGGGGATCACTTGGGGGGAAGTGTTGGCCATGGTCACAGCTGCCAGTGTATAACCTCTCTGCAAAATATTGGAGTACAAATTGGAAGAGGCAGCGAAAGAGACAACAGGGAGGCCCAGGAAGAAAGAGGCAGCGTCTCTGGCGCTGGACTTACAGACGCTGGCCATGGCAGGCATTAGTGCCCCCCTAAAAAGGGAGAAAGTAAGAGAGAGAAGGCAGACACCCCATTCTCCAATTTGCATCATCCAAGAAGAAAAAGAAATGCAGGGTGTGCCTGAAACTGAAGACTTAAGGGCGTCTGGTCCTTCCTAACAGCTGCTGGGCCTGTTGAATATTCAGACATTCTGCAGAGGCTTCCAGTCTGTGAGCAGCTGGTCGCCCCTAGTATCTGAGGCACCTGCAGGAAGAAGGTTGTAAACAGGTGGCCTGGGCTTGGGTGACCAGCAACCGAGGGGAGGTCTGCAAGGCCTCCCACAGGTCACAGGCCACCTGAGGATGGCTAAGTCTTGGCTGCTGAGTTTTCTTGGGACACAGAAGTTATTTATTCTGCGGAAAAAAAAAAACAAAAACCAAAACTATTCTGGATCTGTGCTTTGCCCCATCCCCTCTCTGTCTTCAACTCCTGAATTAGATGCTGATTTAGAGAAAGCTAAACAGGAGAAGCTATTTGCCAGATAAGCTATACGCCAGCTGTAAGAGGAGAAGCTATACACCAGATATTGTTTTTTGTTTGTTTGTTTGTTTGCTTGAGGTTTTTTTTGAGACAAACTCTCACTATGTCACCTTTGGTAGAGTGCCATGGTGTCACAGCTCATAGCAACCTCAAACTCTTCGGCTTAAGCAATTCTCTTGCCTCAGCCTCCCAAGTAGCTGGGACTACAGGCACCCGCCACAATGCCTGTTATTTTGTTGTTGTTGTGTCATTGTTGTTTAGCAGGCCTGGGCTGGGTTCCAACCCACCAGCCCTGGTGTATGTGGCCGGCATCCTAACCACTGAGCTACAGGCACTGCCCAGATACTCAAAGATCAGAAAAGTGTATAAGTCAAATTCACTCATATATAAAAAGAGGGGTGGGAATTACAACATTGTCCTGATCCTAAAACTAGAAAAATCAATTTTCAAAATGTATTCATTTACAATATCTTTTGGGGCTCAGCATAAGTCCATCGTAGAGAAAAATCCTGGGACAAGGAGAGAGTCAGAGTAACTTTTGAGAAATAGTTGTTTAGTACTTACTGAATTACATCCATCTATAGCTTAAGATAAATGTTTATTTAATGATAGCTTTAAATAAATTTTTAAAAACCATCTAAAAATTATACTGACGTAGTGGACACAAGTTTCTCACTACTTGATTTCTTCCAGAAACCTTGTTTGAAATGCAACTTTGATTTATGGGGGAGGTATATGGGTTTCCTTAGAGTCCTTATTGTTCGTTAACTGCCATCACCTCTTCTTCTTTACCTCCGTATTGCATGTCCTTATTTTTTAGGAATTGGATGATGAGGATTATTTTTTATGTTCTTGTCACCCTATTTTTTCCCGCCAGTTTCTTGTGATTACACACATGGCCCCCTTTTTTTTCATTCTTAGAAACATGTGTAATTACTGAAAAACCAAATGTGTGCCTGTCATTTAGAATTATCTTATGTCTTTACTAGTTAAAGGGAAAAAACCCTTCATGAAAGCAAAGTATCCTATCTTTCTGAATGTTGCAGGGTTTACATCAGCATGGTCTGAGATGGGACCAAAAGATCAGTTGCATTTATTACGAGTCCTTCTTGAAGGGAAAATGTCTGCCCTCTATTCTCTGTGTAGTTGACCTGTGGAGCTTCCAGTAGATACGGCTTCTCTGAGCTCAGTAACTCAGTGAGGCTCCTAACGGATACTAGAGAAGTCCAGCAGTTAGATTGGGGTAGACTCAAGCCTAGAGAGTCAAGACATTGAATAGAATGGAGCAGCTCAATGAATGGTTTCCAGGAGCTATTGGCAATAATCCCTGTGGGGCTTCCTCCTCTCTCCCTCCCAACACACCTATCGCTCCCTCCATTTCCTGGCTGTAGCCACATCCAGTACCTCTCCCTTTACCCAGCCCCTCTCCTAGACTGACCGAATAAGACCTGCAATGAATAAACAAATAAACAGACAGATAGAGAGAGACCACTAGGGAAAGGTGGCGTATGTTATTATATTGACACTCAACCTGAACTCCCTGGGGTCTTGTCATGGCTGGAATGGTGGAGTCACTTCAGCGGTAGACAATGACACAAGCAAAGCGTCTCAAATTTCTGCTTTCTTTCCTGTAACTAATGCACAGCTCTCCCTTGGATGTTTACCATCATGTAAGTTATACAGGCCCCTCCGGCACTTTACACTACTCCGGTACTTCATGCCCTGTCTTCTTGTTTGTCTGCCTCTTCTCGACGGCAAGCTTTCTGAAGGCAGGGTTTGTGTCTCTCTCAGTCATTAAATACTGCACAGATGCTCAACAGAGCATTCAGTGGCCAAATCAGTGACCCAACACCCATTTGTTGGTGAACTCTAAGAGACTGTCCCTTTGACAGTGAATGGATCCCAGTCAGTGTTTGAGTTCAGTGGTTCTGAAATGGGACTGCTTTAACCTCAAAGTTTAGTATCTCAATTTCTCATGACCCTGTTATAAAATGACTGTTTGAATTCCTGTAAAGAAAATTGTAAAAATGACTCCTGGGGAAAATCAAGGAATTTCTACTAACCATTCCTATGTGGCCAATACTTCTTGGTTTAAACTCCTCTTTTAACTAGATTTGCATGGTTCTTTATTACTGATCTCCAAATGGGAATAATGGCAGCAGCATAATTTCATCTTTGTATTACCTGGATCATCTGGACTGGGTAAGCTGCTTCCTGTCCACAGAAAGGCACGTCTGCTCTCTGAACTAGCAATGCAAGATGGAGACCCTCTTGCCCAAAGTGACGTGCCAGAGCGTCGCTAACCTCCTGTTTCACATGCTTCTCACTCAGCCTGCTGTGTGGATAACCTGGAGTGTCCAGCACCTGGACCTGCAGGGTTACCTCTTGACCCCTTCGGCGAATGAATCCATGGAGATGACAGCTGCGTCCCAGGCTGCAGTCTTGGGTCACAGAGCACGGAGCAAAGCCGCTGTAGAAGTCAGTGCTTCCCAGCAGAATGTTCCCAGCAGAACTTTTCCCGCTCTGAGTCATGCCAAAGAGGGCCAGGTTGATGATCAGCTTGTTGGCGTCTGTCATGGCTGCGGGTAAACAAAGGCTGTTAGGCTGCCACGTTCCCTCTGTTTGAGGCTGCTTGCCTGCTTAGACTGGCTTTCCCTTCCTTCATAGTGTCTAAACAAAGCAAGGAGGGGTGAATGCTCCACTAAGGAGGAGACACCCCAATGAAAGAAGGAAGTGCTGAAATAATATCGATGGTTTACGGTGGGAAGGGAGAGAGAAGTCAAATACAGATAAGACGAGGAGGAGGAAGCCATAAATGCAGGAGAAAGAGAAAACCTCCAATTACATGAAGATCATATACACCAGGCTTAGGAGAAATGTGTTAAGGAATCCACATGGCAGGTGAGTGGGTTTAGGAATGGGCCTTGAGGTTCCTGAGCTCGGGGACAAAGCTAACAGCACTACTTGAACATTACTCACTGTGGAGAAGTAGGAACAGGACAGGGGAACAAGCAGACCTGCTTGTCTTTTTAACAACATCCCCCCTCTTCTGCCCTCCCTACCCCCTGGATGCACAGTGGCATCTGTAAGAAATCATCCTTCCTGATTTCCTGGATGCTTCTTTCCTACAAAGTAAGAATAATGTTAAAGAAGACTTCTGTTTCTGTTTACCAAATATGTTTTTACAATCAGGCAACATTCTGATGAAAATGAAAACTAATTAATAAATCACTTCCATGGTCTAGCACTATAAAGTTTTGGCTTTTTTCTTTCTTTTTTTTTTTTTAGAGACAGAGTCTTACTCTGTCACCCTCTGTAGAGTGCTGTGGCTTAGGCAATTCTCTTGCCTCAGCCTCCTGAGTAGCTGGGACTACAGGTGCCAGCCACAAAAAGTTTTGGCTTTTTAATTGAGAAGTAAGCCCACCAAACTGACACTTCTCAGTTGAGTTAGGAGGGAGGAGAATCTTAGGAGAGTCGACTCCATTTATAATCCTTGTAAAGTGTGGTTGCTCTTTTGTACAGAACGTAAGCCCCTTGTGAGATTTTAAGGTCATCAAACATTTTCACTAGATTGATAAATTTGGCCAATTGTTGCTCAATCTGCTGATTTAGAAATAGAGACATTTCAGTATTGCCTATTGATTATTTTTACTCATTACTTGTGTATGTAACTCTATTATATAGTTTTAAGTACCCCAGAACTTTCCTGTCCTCTGATGTCCCTCGCTCTAATATCCCCAGACACTCTTGTGAACACCTTCAAAGAGCCTCACACCACCATAAAAATGGGACTCATTTTGGAGGTCCCTCAATTTTGTACCACCTCGCTCAGCTCATTCAGCCGTAGCTACTGTATGGGGATTTGGTCAACTTCTTATGCTCTTTAATCACAAGTATTGTCTTTTTTAAAAAATTCATTATGCAATCCTCATCAGTTTGCTGTATATCACTTACCTTTTCCAGTCTTGAAACTGCTCGCTCCACACAGACTTCCCTTGGGGTTGTACAGTTGTTCTTTGGTATGAACTTCAGTCTTCTGACAGTGTTACTGTACCACTCGGAGACTGATACTGTATGTATTTTCTGTAGTTAATCTGTTACCAGACATCCTCTTTATAAATGATTAGTCATCTTCTTCTAATCAGCCCTGACTTTTGTATGTCACCTCACGGGCTTGTAATTTTACAGGGACAGACTTATACTTTTCATAGAGACTTCCTGAAACTTCTATTTTTAGAATTTAATTCTTTGACTTAGACTTCCTGAAACTTCTATTTTTAGAATTTAATTCTTTGACTTAGACTTCCTGAAACGTCTATTTTTAGAATTTAATTCTTTGACTTAATAGGGAGCAATTTATCTGTAGCATAAAGAAATGCCCGACTGGTAAGCGTTAAACAGAAACTAGATATTCTATAGCAATGGTTATATATTTTAAAATTTTTAATTGGTGAAATGACTACTACTGCATGAAAACTGTCAATAAATAGGTATGCAATGTCTGTACAATAATTAGATACTACATCACAATGGCATTTAGACATTTTTAAGAAAGTTCCAAATTTTGTAAGAAACTATTCTATTTCTCTATAATAAAAATTTATTTTCTTATGTTAATAATGAAAGAATTAGTATGATAATATCGGCATGGGCAGTTTTCATATCAATTAATGAAGGCATATTTAAGGAAAGGAGTAAAATTAACTATAACTTGAAATTGAATAATTTTTTTCTTAAAAACTTGGGTTTTGTTTTGTTGTTAAAAGCTCAAATTTTTAAAATTCAAAAATAAAGCTCAAAAAAGCTTTATTTTTTTTTCCATATCTTAGTATATATAACCCACACTTTCCAGAATACGTTTTTAATGTGCTATGATGTAGAAACCTTAGGGTGCTTATATTCTGGTTCATCTTTTCTTGTATCTCTGAAAAAGTCTATGAAGTATGCATTTGGGGGAAGGGAACTTGGAGACACCTGGAATGCCTTATGACTTCAGGAGAGCTGAAAAGTCTTCTTCCTATGTGGCTATGACAAAGACAACGTTAACTGGCTTCATTCATCTGACAAGCACCCTGGCTTTCTTGAATGAAGCAAAAAGAACCTCCTGTAGGTGGCAGCAGCAACCTGCTTCCTAAGAACTGATTTTGAATTAGAGCTTCTTTTAATTTCCTTCTTCAAACTATAAACTTCAACTCTCTGTATCAACACATATTTTGCGTAGGGTTTTTTGAGGAAGGGCAAAGACAAACCTTCCTTCCTATGTTCCTTTTAAAATGTAGCAAGTGTACGTGCAAGTTAATTTTCTAAATACTACTCTTCAAGCGCTATATTTCAAAATCGTAGTGGAGTGTTTAAAAAATAAAGTTCAAAGTTTATAATCATAAGTTCTAATGAGATTATACAATTTTTAGATAATTTTTTACAAGTCTAATAGGAGTTGTATATTGGAGTCAACTTAGAGGTCTTATACAGCAACGATTTATTAACAGTAGATGATGTTGAAAGATTGATTATAAATTCTTTTTTGAATCAGAGTGAAAGAACAATTTGAAAAATTACCTTCTCACTGATTTGGCTAAATATAATGTAGTAGGGATAAAAATGTATTATCCTTTAATAGCTGATTCTAGAAAGGAAATTGAGACAATAGTTTGATTAGCTGCTTTAGGTAGAAAGAAGATCCCAAGAATATGAGCTTAATTCACAAAAAAGTACTTTAATATCCAATCTGCTGGTTATGGGGGAAGAATCAAGAAATGAGTAGGGAAGATACTGGTATAAAAGGAGGTAGAGAGAGAGGAAGATTTGGAGAAGGAGGAAGGGAGGGAGAGAGAATAAGAATGATAACATTTTAGTAGGACAGGAAGCTAGATCTCAGTTTTGGAAATAAAAATGGCTAGAGGATTATTTTAACACAGTGGTTCTCAACCTTCCTAATGCCACGACCCTTTAACACAGTTCATCATGTTGTGGTGACCCCCAATCATAAAATTATTTTCATTGCTACTTCATAATTGAAATTTTACTACCGTTATAAATCATAATGTAAATATCTGATATGCAGAATGGTCTTAGGCAACCCCTGTGAAAGGGTCATTTGACCCCCAAAGGGGTCATGATCCTCAGGATGAGAACCTCGTTTTAACAGAAATGGCTAGTGTTCAGTTTCAAGTTCTTTACATTTCTGAGATGTTAAGTTAGCCACATTCACAATTTTCTTACGTGAAGAAAATTTTGTATTTTTGTATCGTTTGTACTTTGTATTTTTGTTTTGCTTTTGGTATTTGTTTCACATTTTAGTTTTTAAATTTTATTTTGACAAAAATTAGTGGAAAGGTATGAGGCCTGCCCCCAAGTTAGCATAGGATGGGGACCATACGAGTTGAAGATTATAGATGACATCTGAATTGAAGTAGTTCAGAAGAGGCAGGAGGCTGATGCTAGAAGTTCCCTAAGAACTTAACGATTTTATTTCAAATTATATATATGTAGAGAGAGAGGGAGAAATACACATGTGTATGCATACATATATTCACATATATATTTCTGTGTTTGTGTGATATGCAGTAGAACCTCCATAATTGGCCACCTCCCTATCTATGTTGACCACTTCCTTAACTTAACCCAATTTTCAGAGACCAGGCCTGTACCACATATACACGTCAGTATAGTTGACCTAGTTCCTTGTGTAGACCACCTCCATATGTTGACCAGTTTGTTACAGTCCCTTTGGTGTTAACTTACAGAGGTTCTACTGTATATTAATATAGTATATATGTATGTGTATTATTTATAGTTTGTCTCCATATTTAGTAAAATTATATCTCTATATGCAAAGTTTTATTATAAGCAGCTCTTGACTTACAGAATTTATTTTTTAACTTACAGCATTTGATTATAAGGTACTCTCACAGTTTTAGACAAATTCTAATTTTCACTGGTTTGAATGTGCACATCTTGCTTTGTTGATTTTCTCTGTATAATAAGAATTTTAGCGTATTGACCAGATTGTGTGTTTATGATGACTAAATGGCTCTAAGCTTGGCCAACCCTGCATCAAGTTGAGAGAACATCAACAATCTGGTGGAGGTTAGTGGACTCTTGATTCACTCAACTCGAGCTGGGTTTAGAAGTGGGGATGAAATCTCACCATTGGAAATTTTGGGACACTGATCAGCAGTTTAAATTTGGTGGACAGATGGTCTTAATTTGAATGCACTTGAAGATTCTTGGAAAACTGAAGAATGTCCATGCATGGACAGAAATATTTATGGGAAGAGAAGTCTTCAGTACAAACTTGGTTGGTTTCATGTATTAAAGATTCTACCAGTCACATCCCCATAAAAGAATATCTGTGATGATTTGTTTAGTTTTGTTATTGTTGCTTGCTTGCTTAGCTCTATTCTTAGTATTTCTGCATTTTTTTTCAGATTATAAATATAATGAGTGTTTTTTAAAGAATTTGAAAATGCAAAAGAGAACAAAGATGAAAATAGAATCACTTTTAAACCTATATTTCCTGGGGACCATGAGACAGTGGCTCCTTTGGGGACTGACATAGTAGGTACGTTTCTTTT